TAGAGGGCAGTGTCACTGGCCCTCATATGTGGGATCCGAACCGGGGCCCTCTGGCGTCCCAAGCCAGTTCTTAACCAATGCGCCACTCGGCTGGCCCATCACTGCTTTTTTAAATTCTCATTCACTCACTAGTGTATACGGACTTTTCTTGAGGCTATATGACATATCATGATGTTATCATTCCAACAGCTAATGAAACATGTATTTTTATGTTCTTGTATTTCAGAATTTTCTCAGTTTTAATTTCCAACACAAAAAAAATGTCATTAGCTATAACTCACATAAACAAAACTTTTTGAGGCTCTCAATAATTTTTAAGAGCATAAAGGGATCTTGAGACTAAATAGTGCTATATTAACCCAATAAAACTAAATTACATATTCTCATAAATGTACTGTAATCAGCCATTATGCTAACCAAGTAGTAGAATTAAAAGAGTACCCCAGAATTGGCTATCTTAGGATGAGTAAAGGAATGACTGGAGAGAGCCTGAGGTAAGGTAAGGAGCACAAGGTTTTATATCTAAATGTGGATTGGTAACTGCACAGATCTGTACACTGTAAACACTCAGTGAGTTCTGCACTTGTCATTTGTGTACTTTTTCTGTATGTATGTTAATCTCCAATAAATAAATAAAATTAAATAAAAAATAAAATTAAAAGTGAGCCTAACACCCCATTTTAGAGGTTGGGTTGAAATAATTCTAGTCTGATTAAAAAATAAAAATTACAGTGGGCTGGCCAAGGGCTCAGTTGGTTAAGAGCTCGCTCAAGAACGCAAGCTCTGAGCAACACCGGTTCGAGTCCTGGCCTGAGCTGAGCTGCTGCTGAGCTGCCAACAGGTGGCAGGATGGCTCAGCTAAAAATAAAAATAAAAAACTAAAAAATAAAAAATAAAAACTATAGTCTTTCAAAAGCCTATATATAGTATATAGACATACAGGCACAGGCATAGAAAAAGGTCTGGAAGAATAAATAACAAAATGTTAAGATATGTTCCCTCTAGAGAGGTGAAATATGTCTGCATTCATAAAGGGGAATTTACAATATTGTTTTCTCTTTATTTTGTAAAAATATTATAGTTCTAAGTATTTTACAGTGAGAAAATTTTTCAATACCACTTGGATATTTTTAAAATGTATACATCAAGAAAGACTCAGAGGGATCAAATGATTTAATCACAATGTCTTCAATTTGTCTATTACTTTGGATTTTTATTATTATTCACATTTAATATAATTTGGTCACTTTGTTTACTCACTGGCCCTTAAACCTCTGGATACAAAAAATTTATCAATGTCATTTATCTGTGTCATTTCTGTATTTTACTATTGATTAGTGTATTATTAAGAAATGATGATTCTTATTTCTCTAAGTCAAAAAATGTGAAAGTTGCTAATTAATAACATATGAAGGGTTAAGTTTTAAAGTTGTCTCACCATCACCAGCTAAGGCCACTTGCATTAAACCTCAACATTATTTTAATATCATGATTTTTTTTTTGCCCATAATTAAAACTTTATTGAAAAACTGACACCAAAATAGGAGAGACTGTTGTGTACTTACAAAATTAAATGTAATGACATTATCTTGGTAGATTAACTAGAATTACTGAACTGATAAGGCTTTCTGTGATATAACAAATTCAGGAAGTTGTGTGGATCATTAGTGTTGCTTTCTTCAAATGAACACCCTTCTGTGAGTCTGGCCTTTCCTCCTGTCGGCTGGCACAACACTGTTGAACAACCTATACAAAGAACCACGGTCTGAGCATGGCTGAAAACCGTGGTAATCTTGTAGCAACCTGGACATTTCACATCCATAAAATAAGAATTTGGACTTTGAACTAGCCGTTTCTTTTTATGTTTTTTCTTTTCCTCTTCCAAGGACGGATGTAGTAAGTCTCTAGCCAAAGGCATATTGATGTTTTTGCACGCCCAGCCCGAACAGATCTCTGAGGCAACACCCCAGACTAGAAGCACGCGATCGGGCGCCTAATATCATGATATTTTTGAAGAGCTATTATTATTCATTTATCTGTAACTTTAAAAACCTGATATTATTTAGGTATTTAAGAAAAGTATTCTTCAGAAAATAACCACAAAATATGCATATGGTTGCAATTAAATGGTATAGAGTAAGAGGAGAAATTATAATGAAAGGTAGAGGTCTCCTTATCCACACCTCTCCACCCCATAATACTACTTCCCTAGAGAAAATCACCTGGTTCCATTTCTGTTTTGTTTTTTTTGTAGTTACCTCCACACCTCAGCTGCCAGACTTGAGAATTTGGCTCTTACCATCCCTAATCTCCCCAACGCCCAACATAGTTGTGTCACAGGCCTAAATGACATAATTAAACCTCCATTTCCTACTGCATCAACCACAAACCACAAACCTCCCCAGTCTCAGATGAGAACTCTAACGTGCCCATCCTTTTTCTTTTGTTTTTAAAATTTCATGAGAACATGTCTAAATATGGGTCTTTTTTCATTTATTTTTGCTGGGTCCTTTCAATCTAAAGGCTTTTCAGCTATGGGAAATTCTTTTCCATTAGTACTTGAATAATTCCCTCCCCTTGGTTTCCCTGGAATTCTTATTTGTCTGGTGCTATAAGTCCTAGAACAGTCTCTCTGTGTTTTACCTATTTATCTCCTATATTCCATGTCATTCCTTCTCGTTCTACATTTTGTGAAATTTCTTTGACTTTTTCTTCAGCTCCTTCTAGTAAATTTATATTGGCAGTAATCTTTAATCTTCAAGAACTCTTTCCTATTCTGACTGCCCCTTTTGCATTACGTCTATTCTTGTTTAATGGAAGTAGTATCTCCTGGAATCTTTGATCAACACTGTTGCCAGTGAGATTTTTGTTGTTTGTACTTTCTAAGTTCTCGTCTACTCCTTGATATGTTTCATCTGAGGGCCCTTTCCTCTTTACCACACTCTTTCTCTTTTACACTGCAGGCTTCCCTCAAATGCCTAGTGTATAATACGTGGTTATTCATTTACAAAGGAGACAGAAATTTTAATCTCTATACATGTGGGAGGGATTTTCTAACTGACAAACTTCAGCTGAGATAAGGGGCTTCAGTTCAGATAAGGCCAGCTTTATGCAGGCGTCCGAAATGCCAGAGGAGAAAGGCTTTTCTGTGAGCTGCTGACCCCTCCAGAGGGAGTGTCCCATTTCTTTGAGGGACTGCTCTGTAGGAGCCCTAGTGGTGGCAGTGCCTGGCTACAACGCTGGTGGTAGAGGGTAATCAGTAGGTTGTTCCATTCACAGCATCACATCTTAATCCAGCCTTTCAAGGTTATTTGCTCTGAATAATGAAATGTCTTTTTCTTCACCCATGTCCCCCTTTATGCACACTCCTGGCTGTTGCTCCCTTCTCTCTGCTTCATTAGTCAGAACGTTTCCAGCTACTTGCCACTATCTCATTAATTAAAGGAACTTCTTTTCCTCCAATCCACTGTAATTCTTGATGCAGATTTATACATTTAAAAATTCCTTTACTGAGGGAGAAAGGGAAGGGATTAGACAGCATAAATAGGTTAACTACAATATTGCCACAGGGATATGAAAGACAGTTCGAGGAATATCATTAATAATGTTGTAAATATTTTGTAGGGTGTCAGATGGTCACATGTCTTATTAAGGAGACCACTTCATGGATGGGGTAGAGGCTTGATCACTGCACTATACACCTGAAGCTGATGTTGTATAATAGTGTATGTCAACTATAAGTGAATATATATATATATATATANTTTTTAGCTGAGCCATCCTGCCACCTTTGGCAGCTCAGCGGCTGCTCAGCTCGGGTGGGACTCGAACCACTGTTGCTCGGAGCTCGCACTCCTGAGCAAGCTCTTAAACAACTGAGCCACTCGGCCAGCCCTTAATTATTTCATTTTAACTGATACAGTAGTTCCACCTTCTACATTTCATTTATCCACTCATGCATCTATTGATAAGACATTTGAATTTTTGCTATTATAAACATTTATGGTGCTATGAGTATTGTGCCTTAAATTTCTGCATATTTATGTTAATGTGGACTTTCTCTGGAGTATATGAATATTTAAAATTTACTGGAAATTGCCATGTTATTTACTATACTATGCTATTCCATAGTAAATCTACACTCCCCAAAGCAGCAATAAGACATTTTCCAGACATCCTTCAAACATTTGAAATTAGTCAAGATACTGAATTTTTCTCAGTGTGATGGGTATAAAATGGTATGTCAAAGTTATTTTATGTAATGTTTTCCTAAAGAGGAGCGAGGTTAAGCATCTGTTTATATTCTTAGGTTTTTTTCTTTTGGCCAATTTTTCTTCTAGGTTGTTTAACTTTTTCTTATTGAATTGTAAGAGTCTCACATGTATTCCAGATTCTAATCCCTTACTTAAAATAAATACATTACGAATTTCTCTCTGTCATTTATTGGTTGTCAACTGCTATAAGTTTTAGGTTCCGTTCTAATAGTTTAAATTTTTATTTTTCATATTTATTAATAGGTCCTTAAGATAGTTACAATTTACTTTTCTATGTGGTGAAAAGGTATGGCTCTAATTTTACTCCATTACACATATAGGTTTTCCAAAAAAATTTACTAAATCTGTATCCCTTCCCACTGATTTGTATATTACTACTTCCATCAAACGCCAAGTTCCGTCATGTGCATGAATCTATTTCTGGCCTCCCTACTGGTTTCCACGGAACAGGATTAAATATCCCTGTTCTAATTCCACATTTTTTAATTACAGTAGCATTTTAATAGGGCTGGATAACTGATAAGGTAAACTCAACTACTTGATATTTTACTTCTCTTTGAAATTTTATTGCAATTTCTTTTCAACCTGCACGTAGCTCTCTTCTTGGTAGTTTCAAGATTCTTTTGAACTAAACCTTAACAAAAAAAAAAACCCACCTTAAACTATTCTACTTTTGGTATTTCCTTTTCACTTTAGTCCTTTAACTCTGAATTAACCAAAGGAAGTGGTCCTTTATTGAGCCTCTTTTTGTTAAACAACACTGATGAAGAAGCTGATGGTTAACTGGATCTAAAACCTTGTAGCCAGCATGTACAATTTTTCATTTAGATCCACGTTACTTTCCTAGTGCTTCTAAGAAGATTTATAATATAGTAATTATAAATAAAGAAGAACCAAGAATTTTACTTACTGATGCAATTGTAGCATCTTTTTCAGTGAGTTCCTGTTTGTGCCTAGCCATCATCTCTTTGATCTCCAGCTCTTTCATGATTTTCTCTTTTTCCAAATCAGAATATTGTTCTTCAGCAATTGAACGAGCCAGCTGCTCAGAATCTGCTTTGGTCAAGGTGATCTCCAGTTGAGCAGCCAAGGAGTCCCTACATTTTAGAGATACATTGTTCAATTGATCTTATTGTTCAATTTTTACTATGAAGTCAAAGTTTTTGTTGAACTCACTTCATCAACAAATTCATTTGGACTATCGCAGGCATTGTTCTAAGAGCAAGGTACATGGCTATGAGCAAAAGAGGGAGAATCTTGTCCTTACCTTTCATCCTGTAATTCCTGTTTCTTTTGCTGTAATTCTTTACAAAGCTTGGTCTTTTCTTCACATTCTTCTTTCAGTTCCCTGACTTGTGTTTTATAGAGGGTCTAAATAGCAAAATATAACAGAAACATATATTGTCATCAAGAATATTGTTTCTACATTCAAAAATCTATCCAGACAAATTGACTACATACGAATATGTTCATACCACTAAGTAATGTTGAGCCCCTGAGCAAATTAATAGCTTAATGAGCTTTTTAATTTTCTTGTAATCAACCAACTAAAAAATAAAAGTTCAGCTTATAATTAGAAGTGTGATTTTCATCTGAATACCACAATGCCATTTCTCATTAAACGACACAGATTGGTAGGATGAATGAAGAGGCAAAGAAAAATATTACTAATTTAACAAGAAAATTTTGTTGGCTTAAATCAATTAAACAGATAACAGCTACTATTTTATATTTTAAAACTGAGCTCAAAAAAAGTACAAATACCAAAATGACAATTTTATTTCTTTCATTATGAAAATATATGCTTCCGCAAAAAGTAACGCTTTTAATCAACTTTATAGGGTATGGGCATTTACTTATAACTATGTTTCTAACAATGATATTAAATTTCTGTTAACTATCCATAGTCTTTTGTCCAGTTGTTCTTTTTAGGAGTTGTGTCGTATAAAACATCCCATCCAAAACTGCCTGGTGTTTACTCTAACAATCTATTCTAAAGACAGGAATCATTCTCCTGGTCCTTCAGCAAATTGGTTTTTAATTCTACAAATACAACAATTTTCAAATTAATGTGTTTGGAGCTTACTGAGAAATACTGTTCCGCTTCAAGCTGATCTTGGAGCTCTTTCATTTGCCCATCTGCATCTTGACGTTCTCTGTGGTAACATTGAATCAAATGTTAAATAAGTTATACACATATTAAACCAGCAACACTTAAAACGTGGTCTGGGGAAACCCTGGGAGTCTCTGAAACCTTTTCAGAGAATCCACAAGGTCAAGTTACTTTCATATACTAATTCAGCATCACTGCTTTTTTTTTTTTTTT